TGCACTTTCTTGAATCTCTTATTTAGTCTCTCTCCAAACCACATATATGGTTGACAATGGTCACACATGTTAGTCATATCACCTTCATCTTCATATTCTGAATCATTGAATACGTAAACTTTGTTATTAAAATGATTGTAGAGAATAATTTATATATAATTCATTTTTTGTTTTGTTTTTAACCGAATGAGAAGATGGCCCATGGCGAGTGTCTTTGTCGTTATCTTTTGTAGTTTTTGCTGGTTTTGTATTTTGAAATTTGATTTTCTTTTCTTCTGCTGAGATTCTACTTGTACATATTCGCTACTTTCGTTGTCACTTTCCGAAGAAATCATCAGATTCATCGTCAGTATCTTCTTTTTCAGAATCTGTAGCGATAAAGCAAGCGAATTCTTCTGTATTTATTTGATCTGTCAAGAAAGTGATCATCAAAATTGAGTAATTAAACAAACGTCAATCGATCTATAATATAAAGCGATGCTTAGTGAATACCTTGTTTTGATTTATCTCCAGCTTCCTTTTTCTTTCTCATGATTTCGATTCGCTGCTTTCTATTCAATGCATAATATGGCTGAACAGGATTGACATATCCTAAACTTTGAAGATAGACTTTTGCAATAGTAGACAGAGTTCCAGAAAGCAATGTCACTGTTGAGTTTGTTCCTAAAATAATTAATAATCAGTAGAGAAACAAATATCTTATTTTTTCCTAAAGAATGAAACTACTTTTTAACTTACGTTTCGTAGTTGGATTTGCTGGATTTGTTTTTGTTTTTTTGTGTTTTTTTTTCTTTTTTCTCTGTCGTTTCTTCTGTAGACTTTGCTGTTGATGTTTGTGAAGATTCTATTTTTCTTTTCGTTCGTTGTGACTGAACTTTTAAATCTTCTCTACATCTGGTTTCATTATCAGGTAAATCTACGGAGCCATCATCACTATCTTCTTTATCTGAATCTGTTGCGACAAAGCAATCAAATTTCTCTGGATTTTTTTCATCTGCAAAGAAAAAACAAACACGATTGATTTATGTCGTAAAGTGTATGATTTTTCTGAAGTTCCCTTTTTTTCCTCATGATTTCCATACGACGCTTTATAACCAGCCTATAATCTGGATGAAAAGGTTTGATCCATCCTAGAATTTGAGGATAATGTTCTTCAGTAGCAGCTGGAGTTGCGAAACATTGTAATAGTGTGGAGTTTGTTCTTAAAAAAAATTAACAGCACTGAAATTATTATTTTTTTTGTAATATCTAATCAATAATTGTAAGATGCTCTGAAAACATAAACTAATCAATCGTTCAACATTATTTTACTGAGTTCCTTTTGTTAATGATTGATCTGACGCTAAACATTATTTTGAAGATATTAGAAATGATAAATTTCTTTTTTTTTTTTAATTTGTTTTTATAAAAACGTTTTTGAAGATATTAGAAATGAAAATTTTTCGAAGATATTTGAAATGGTAAATTTCTTTTTTTTTTAATTTATTTATTTTTAAAACGTTTTTGAAGATATTAGAAACAATTTTTTTTCTTTTTAATTTATTTTTATAAAAACGTTTTTGAAGATATTAGAAATGGAATTATTTCAAAAATATTAGAAATGGTAAAGTTTTTTTTTTAATTTTTTTTATAAAGACGTTTTTGAAGATATTAGAAATAGAAATTTTTTTTCTTTTTAATTTATTTTTATAAAAACGTTTTTTGAAAATATTAGAAATGGAAATATATTTTTTAATCTTAACGTTTTTGAAGACATTAGAAATGGTAAATTCCTTTTTTTAATTAATTGTTTTTTATTTCAAAATTTCCGTTTAATTTTATTTTAAAAACGGTTTGATTTGAGATTTAAAATAAGCATTAAACCATAATAATTTAGGTCAGTTTGTTTTAAGTTTTTTTTTACACGTCATCACATGAGAACCAATAAAAAAATGACACGTAATTGAAAAATAAGGCTAAATAAATGGTCTTTTAACGGCCGAAACTCATTCTGGAGCTGACACATAAGCGAAAAGCGGTGAAACTCACTTTGAGCGCGATACGTAAGCAAATTACTACACAAATAAAAATGTTTTTGAAGATATTAGAAATAGAAATTTTTTTCTTTTTAATTTATTTTTATAAAAATGTTTTTGAAGATATTAGAAATGAAATTATTTCGAAAATATTAGAAACGGTAATTTTTTTTCATTTATTTTTATAAAAACGTTTTTGAAGATATTAGAAATGGAAATATTTTTTTTAATCTTAACGTTTTTGAAGACATTAGAAATGGTAAATTCCTTTTTTTAATTATTTTTTTTTCAAATTTCATCTTAATTTTATTTTTAAAACGGTTTAATTTGACAGCGAAATTAAGCATTAAACCAAAATAATTTAGGTCGGTTTGTTTTAAGTTTTTTTTTACACGTCATCACATGAGAACCAATAAAAAATGACACGTAATTGGAAAATATGGCTAAACGGTTTTTTAACGGCCGAAACTTATTCTGGAGCTGACACGTAAGCGAAAAACGGTGAAATTCACTGTAAGTGTAACATGTAAGCAAATCACTACAAAAATAAGTATATAGATTATGTACTAATAGTATTCTGTGTAGCCTCATTTTGATAGTTTTCTCATCGTGTGGGACTGGCGTGAAAGAATTTTATAAAGTGAGAGAAAAATCAAAGGTACTTTTGGAATGGAGTAGTATCAAATATCAATGCGACCATTTACTTGATTACCATTTTCTACTTTTTGTACCAATATGTGGCTATTGGGCCAGTTCACTCTATATTTTAACTCATGTAAGAGAAAAAACACCAAAGATTGAATCTATTATGTCCATCACTAGATTAGGAATGGAAGAGTCGCTAAGGACTAGGGTCATCTATTATGTCCATCACTAGACTACCTTTCCTCATAATTTGTTTGTGTTTAGGTACATGAAAAAACTTTTATAAGTATGTTATAAGAACACGTAAAAAGCTACAAAATGCATACAAACACATATAAGAAAACAAAGCAAATAACAAAAAATGTGAGTTACATGTTCTTTTGCAATTTTTGTAATGTTCTTTGAGTATTTTGGGGTTAATCACTTTCCACGAAGTTTCCATTATATGAATTGGTGCAATATTGTATCAATTATACAACGCGTAAAGGTTTATAGCAACGACTCTTCGAGATGAGAAGGGTTTAGTTTTATTTACAAGGCGAATTATTAAGAGTTATATAATTATCCAATTTTTTGATTAATTATTTAATCATTATGTTTTGATTTATGTTAAGAAAAAAATTCAATCATTGGGGTATCACATTGCAATTGAACTGTTGTTGCAGTTTTAATTGTTTCTCGTTGGATATATCATATATATAAATGTTTGAGGTTAATACTTTAAATTGAAATACGGCTAATCATTCTGAGTTTTGAAAATATACCTAAGACCAAGTCTAAATACTTCTAATTGTGATATAACTAATGAGAATTTTTTTTTCAACAACTAACAAGAATTATTAGGGCTAAAACAAATAAAAATGAGAGTAATTGGGCTCTTTCAACCTGATATATTAGTTTATTATAAAATCTAATGATGACTTTAAATAATATGTTACAATGGAAAAATAAATTATTAAGATTGGTTGGTAGTTGGTATAGTTATAGAAATTGAATTTGCCAGGATTTTTAAACACGGTTTTAGTTTGGTTTAAAGATCCAACTAATCGGACAGAACCTGAGCTTACGTCTAATGTCTTCTACAGTATTTTATTATTATTAAATAATCGAATTCTACGTAAAAACTAACAGAAATTTCCAGACACCAAAATAAGATCAGAATAGAGACAATCCTATGCGAAATATAGGATGGAGTAATCGGAATATAATTTATCCGCATGATATCAAATACAATTAATAGTTAATATCAATAAGAATCATTGAATATTGCAGGTTTTGCATGTTCTGATTACGACTAAGCCTATAATGACATTTTCTAAGCTAGAAAACGATATTTAACCGAAAAATCTATATGAAAAAGATGGTCCGCATGTCAAGCGGTCTCGGTTTACGAAGCCATGTGGGATAGATTAAGCACATTTCATGGGATTTTAGTCATTATTGATGTCCCTAACCAAATACAAACACTTTTTTAACTAAACTCAATTTGATTACTTTAACTGAAAACATTAGTGTAAATTAGATAACTTATATATTCTACTATTTTAGTTCACTTTTATGGATTTAGTTGCACCTTGGTACAGGCTTTTTGGTATTAATTGATTAAGGGTTTAAAGTTTTTGTATCAACTATATAATTTGTATTTCAAAGAATGTAATTTTTCTATATAGATTTTTATATACGCAAACATATCAGAATTTTCAAGATGATGCAAATAAAGTTATTCTTCGTAGTTTTGCGTATTATATGTATTTTTTTTTTTTTTATCATAAACGTAATATTTTAATATAGATAAAATTACTAGCCGTAAACTCGAATGTTGTTAAAAATTGGTCCATCTTGATCCATGTAGTTAGATTCGTCCACAACAGAATTATGTCACTTATATCATCAAAAATCTAATAATGATTAAGGTGACGAAGAAAAGTAATTTTGATCGCACCAAAATTAATTAGTGTAATGTGTAATCACACATACTACAGTTATACCGCAATGACCACAATGTGGTTCAACTGTTGTAACTTCAAGAGGTGTAACCGTTCTCTCAGCATTTCAAACCTAATATTAAAAACCAACCAATTTAACAATAGGAGTCAACGATCTCTCTCCTCCCGTCCTCCGTATTATATATACCACAATGGCTCCATGATACTACAAAATCCAAATCGAACCACACAGAAAACAGAAGAACAAGAACAAGAGGAAAGGTTTTTTTTTTTTACTTGGGCATATCCCAAGTTTCCTTTTTTCTTTCCTTCTCCTTTATTTTTGTTCGGGGTATTATTTCCCAAGAAAAAAAAAATCTATTTTCTAGAACTTCATTAAATAAAATTGATCATAATGGGAAATTGTTTGGTCGGAAAGAAGATTGCAAATGTTTCTGAAGAAGAAGAAGAAATATGTGAACAAGTGATACTGAAGAAAGATTACAAAAGAAAAGATCGGAAGGTGAAGATTGTTCTATCGAGAGATGAGTTAGAGAAACTGATACTTTTCCAGCTTAACGCAGACGGTGCAGATAAAAAAGGAGATGCCACTTTGGCTTCTTTTGGAGATTTTCTTAGAGAACTTGAGGCCGAGAGATTGGCTGGAGAAGCTGCAGCTGTGGCAGCCGAGGAAGAGAACTCTCGCCAGAAATTATGTCGGAGGTGGAGACCGTCGTTGGAGAGTGTCATTGAATGGCCTGAAGAAGTATAGTCCTCTTTATTTTATTTAACTTTCTTATTATTCAAGGTTTTCAAATTTCTTATTTTTCTATTAAAAGAAAAGGATTTTCTTTTTGGGAATTAACTTCTGCCTGTTTTTTTTTTACGATTTTTTTCCCAAGATCTTATTTTTCTGCATCTGAGATCCTGGGTGTTTGAAATGGGCAATGGTGTATTACCAAAAGAAATATCCGGAAAAAATTCTCCACAATTTGTATTCCTTTGTAATTTTTTGTGCGTCATCCTAAATAAAAATGTATAGTTTTCGTGTAAAAGTAAAACGTTCGCTTTCAAGTTTGTTTTCCTCTCCTGTGTAAGTTATAAATATATTGTTATGTGCTTTTCTCTTACCTGCACCTTGTGCGGAATAATTATTAACCATAATTTTTTTATTTGAATATGTAAATAAAATGTATATCAATACAACTATACAATATTAGTTGATATTTATAATTAAAAATCTATTTGCTAATTATGCAATTGCAAATAATGATTACAATTACATTTATTTTTAATATAATTGTCTAAATGCTAGATAATTTTTGGTAATTTACTAATATTTTTATATGAATAAAACTGCATATTATGAATAGACTAAATTAGATTAATAAGTTCTATTTAACCGATTCAACATATGATTAAGATATTTTGTTTTTGATAAAAAAATAGAATTATAATATGTATGAAAAATTTAGATTGTTTTTTATTAAATGGATAATATAATTATTTCTTCAACAAAATTAAGATCAAAGAAAGATGAGATAAAAGAATATAATGTTTAGTAACATAAGTAATATTATGTAATACATTTTTATAATATGTTGATAAGAAATAGAAAGAGAGAGAATATTTTTACAAATTAAATGTTTAGTATTAAATGTATAATTGATATAAATTACTCTTTAAGTAAATTAATGTTAATGACATATGATGTAATTACTCTAGTAAAACAAGCATTTTTTTTAAATGTGTTTTGAGAAGCTTTCTCATGATGACACATCAGCATGTCATTCTTGTAAATCACACATCAAATGAAAGTTGTTTTTAAAATGTCATTGTCAATTAATAATAGAAGATGTGTAAGTTTACAATTTTTTTTATCATGTTATGTATTTTATTTCTATACCATTTTCAAAATTTCGAGAAGCGAATAATTTGGCAAAGAGTTTCGAATTTCCTCAATTAATCTAAGTATGATATTATACACCAAAAACATTCACACTTCTTACGAATTAACACAGACAGTGTAAAAACGATTAAATGAAACAAACATTTTACTAGTTTTTTCCCCTGAAGAATCTCTTTTTTATAATAATAAAACGTTGTACAAGTTCAACATAACTAGCAGGGTTTATCATGAATTTTTGAAGTAATTTTGGATGTTGAATGTTTACTAGTATTATATACATATATATAATAATCTTATTTATTTGTGAATATATATATATATATATTTTGTGAATAATCAATATTCTAAACTAAAAATACTGTATTTTTGAAGTCATTTTCAATAATAAAAATGTCTAGTTGATATGTGGCAGACCAACTAAAAATTTGTCAGCTCAGCTGACCAGATTTTAATACATGATATGTTTAATTGGTTAGTTTTATTTGAAAATTATTATCTCCACAAATTAATATAGAAACGATACACAGTGGCGCAAGTAAAATACTAGAAAACGTGGCAGAGAAGGCAAGTACCACTTCCGCAATTTCGAGTATGGTAGTTAACAAAAAAAAAAAAAATCGAGAGTAAAAATTTGAATCCAATATTTTGTTTTTTTATCATCTGAATTTAATTAGTGAAATTAAGGAGGAATATATATTGTGATAATACAAAAGCCAGCAGAATAATAAGATATCTCAGAAAACGAACTCTTCTCCGATATTTACATATATATATATATATATCTAGATAGTTGATCTCCACTATTTTAACAGAGACATTTAATATTTCGATTCAGGTTGTGATGATTTTCTTGCTCCTCAAGCTAGACCGCCTCTCGCTTAATACCTTTATAAGTTAAGGTAGTAAACCCTGACCAGGAAGATGCCACACAGACAATCCTTATATTATGCCTTTGACCATTGTAAGGTTAGTTCTAGAGACCCACATTTTCAGTCTGGTTTTAAACTAAACCAAACTGAATCATAAAATACTAAGACCATTACAATAAAATTGTTAAATTGCGATCAAAGAAAGAGTTTTTTGGGACTTACACTCGGATTCTTCGGGTAGCTGGATCTGGCGGAGGTTGCTTAAGCTGCGATCGATAGCAAGGTCCTTTCTTTGCTGCACAGTTGGTTTGAGTCGCAATGCTTTGTTTTGGCATGATAATTGGACTGAACTAGGTCCTCTCATTGAGATTATTGGAGCAAACGGTCCAAAGATTGCTGGTATTCCAAGATTAGCCACTGTCTCTCAGGCGATTCGAGATGGTGAATGGTGGTTGCCGAGGGGAAGACATCCTATTACTCTGCTGCTTACGGAGGTTCTTCCTCAAGCTCCGGTCTTAATTTCTTCGATGGATGATGAGTTCAGTTGGAAAAACTCTCCCACGGGTGCTTCGGGAATTTTCTCTGCTTTGAGAACTTGGTCTTCGCTTCATCTGCCGGGTCCTGCTGTTCATTGGGTGAAGTCTGTTTGGTTCTCCAAAAACATCCCAAAACATCCCAAAACATTCGTTTATACATTGGGTGGTTATGAGAGATCGACTTCCCACTAGGGATCGTCTGAGAAGCTGGGGACTTAATGTTCCCATTGGATGTTTACTTTGCCAAACTGCGTCTGAGTCTTGGCATCATCTGTTTTTTGACTGCCCATTTTTGAATCACATTTGGTCTTCCTTATTCTCTCATCACTCGCTTCATCCGTCAAGGTCTCTTGATGGTATTTTCTTATGGGTTAGGAATGCTTCTTCTCTATCGAAGCTTAATGTTACCTGTAAATTGCTGCTCCAAGCCTCCATCTATAACATATGGAAAGAAAGGAATGCCCGTCTACATACAGCTGTTTCTAAGCCTCCGGTTCAAATTATTCGGGAAATCCATTCGATTCTGAGGAGTAGACTAGCGGGTCTAGACTCCTCTATTGTAGTTTCCCACTTCACTGCTGCTCAATCGAGTACCAGCCTCTGCTCTACCTATCTCTCCGTTTGGTTTGGTACATTCACTTTGGTAACTACCCGGCCCCGTGATCGGTCTTCCAATCTTCTCATAATCGAGGATTTTATTTGTATTGGTGTTTGATTTGAATTCCTTCCCCTGATCGCGTTTAGTATGCTTTTGGTAGCATTGCTTAGGCGTGTTTTTCCCACGCTATTATATATCTTTGTTGTTTGTCTCTCTCGTTGTAATGTCACCCTTCAAAAAGGGGATAAAGTGAAATGAAATGATATTTAAAAAAAAATGTTAAATTAAAAATTGAATTGTTGAAGTGATATAATGAAAGTGTTGAAAACTAACGTGTATTAATTCATGTTGAGCGGATGGTTGTCAGATGAGGTTGTAGCTCTCCTCCTTACAAATCAACTGACAAGACTCATCCTAATGGCTTCAAGCATAGAGATTATTTCAAACTCTCTACATTTCTTCAAAACTTTATTCTAAGACTCAGCAATGTTAATTGTTATGAGGTTTTACCATTCACCCATGCAATAGGCCCTTGTCCAGTGTGGGAGTTCCAAATCAAGCAAGTACTTGGCGCAACCGGGGCTGATGCTTTGCAGCTCTGTAAAAATCTGGGTAAACTCCATCACAGTGTAAGCTTTTGCCGCTCAGACCATAAATAACAGCAATCACCTCTCTTTAAACCTTGTTGTTATGTTCGATCATCTGTAGTACTCTTTTATATATTGTTGCTTAATCGGGCTGTCGGAGCGGGACTTATTTGGTCTATTTCAGACTGCATTTCCGCAAAAAGTAAAACATCCTCATCGCAACGAATAGAAACAAGTGGTCCATTTTTCCGTCATCGATTAGTATGTACTGCGGCTATTGATAAATGAGAGTGATGACGACATCTTCTGCTATTTCCATTTTCTCTTTTACAACTTGCACCACCTCCGAATATTTCATTCTTGCACTTAGAAAAACACATTTGGTGTTTCTTTTTTTGTAGGCCAGAAAAGTCCACATACTATCGCACCCTTCAAACCATTCTCCTTTCACAAACAAAACAGTTTGTCTTCCAACCATCAGCATTCTGAAAGTCTTGTACAATTACTAAATAGAACAAGTAATATAATTTCAAATAGTCAAAAATTATACTATGAAGTAGACAAACTTATTCTTCTCCGAAGTATATGAACTCCTTTGCAAAATGAGTAGTGGTGGTCTATAGGATTGTTGACTGACTATTTATTTGATTCAAGAAAGGTTCCTCAAAATTAATCTAGTTTGATACACGATTATTGATGATTATAAAACTTATGAATGTCATTGTCAAAAATAAACGCTAGCGTTTGAATGCCAATGTCAAAAGTAGACACTACTGTTATAAACTTTTTTAAAATTGATATTTCTGTATTGAGTCAGAAAAACAATGTTGGACACAAAGAAGCAATGGGTTTAGTGTCATTTCCTACCAGTTGTTTAGTTAACTATTTGATATAGATTGAATTGACTGATTGTGGTTGCTAGTTGCCTAATTTGGTCTTCGGAATCTACTATTTTTGCAAATCACTTTTTATTTAATATGTTGAAATACGAGAGAATTAGATCCATAACATCACATAGTCCAATTAGAAGCGCCAATGAGATATAGATAACTTCTAAAGGCGTAAGTCTATCTAGTGGATAAAAGAGAGACTAAAACTTGACAAATGTTGTTTTTTGATTTTATATATTTTGTTTTATCAGATTTTTATGTCATCTAAAATAATTATTTTATTATATATATATATATTTTTTTTTTTAATTATACCAAAATTTATATTTTTTTTTCTCATCTATAAATTAGAAACTTGTATATAGTATAAGGGAAATATGGAG